CATTCCATTTTATGCTTTGGTTTTGCATGAGTAACTTCAAACTAGGTCAACTAAGGCCTGCTTTGCAAAAAGATCAGAGAGAAGAATAGCTAAACGACCCTTCTGGTGAACTGAGAGCTCCAATTTTGCAAGGAGTTCAAATATCTTAAGAGACACTTTGGTCTAACTTTTCTTTTTTTTTTTTTTTAATTTGCTTTTCTGTTTATGGTTCAGAAGGTACTTAGGACCTCACAGTGTCTCAGTACATTTCATTGTATGGGAGTGGGGGTAGAAAACCCACAGTCCTCTGAACCATTGAGCCATGCGGATTCTGCATAAAGTGCAGTCCCCTGGGCCACACACCTCAGGCTGCCCCCAGCTGCGGCCCTGTCCTTAGCCGCCTTTAGGGTATCCCCTGCTGCAGGTTCTCAGCAGCCACCCCAACGCCTCCCAGCAGCCCCAAGGACTGAGCCCTGGTGTTGCCTGTCACTCCCTGGGAGCAGCTGCTACAGAGCTTCCGTGGAAGAGCAGCAGAGAAGTGCACCATGTGCACGAACTTCCCGGCATGAGGGGCCTGGTGGGAGGCACCTCTCCAGGACAGAACTCCAGGCCTGGTTCAGTCATACCCTGAGGCACTGTGGTCTAAGGGATGGCTGCTCTTCTCTCCTACTCTTGCCCGGGAAGGAAGTGCCACTGTCATTCGCTAAGCTTCGCATCCCCTCTGATCCTGGCCGGGGAGCTGGGGAGGAGGAGGTCGTTTCTTCCAAGCCGGCTGCTCTGGGCTGTCAGTTGCTGACCTTGACGGCTTTCTTGGTTTGAATTCCAGGGAACAGATCATCAGACTTCAGGGCCAGGTGGACAAGCAGTATGCGGGGCTCAAGGACATGGCTGAAGAGCGCAAGCGGAAGCTGGAGAACATGTACCACCTGTTCCAGCTGAAGAGGGAGGCCGACGACCTGGAGCAGTGGATTGCTGAAAAGGAGCTGGTAGCCTCTTCCCCAGAAATGGGGCAAGACTTCGACCACGTTACTGTGAGTAGGCATTCATAATAAAAGGAAAGCTGCCGCTTTGTCTTTCTCTGACAGTGGACACACCACCTCTGCCACTCACAGGGCGTTGCACAGAGATGCAGTCACACCAGCATGGGTGTGACCAGCAGGCTCAAGTCTGCCCCGGGAGGGTGTAGAAAGCTCAGCTCCAGGTGGGAGAATTTGCAGCCGACTTGACTTTGACTAGGCCTGTGCCCTGATAACCACATTTCTATCTGCCCCTTGTCCAGCTGCTCAGGGACAAGTTCCGGGACTTTGCCCGGGAGACTGGGGCAATCGGGCAGGAGCGGGTGGACAACGTGAACGCCATCATTGAGCAGCTCATCGACGCTGGCCACGGTGAGGCGGCCACCATCGCTGAGTGGAAAGACGGGCTGAATGAGATGTGGGCAGACCTGCTGGAGCTCATTGACACACGCATGCAGCTGCTGGCTGCCTCCTATGACCTGCACCGCTACTTCTACACGGGCACCGAGATCCTGGGCCTCATCGACGAGAAGCACCGTGAGCTGCCCGAGGACGTGGGGCCAGACGCCAGCACAGCCGAGTCCTTCCACCGGGTGCACACGGCCTTCGAGCGGGAGCTCCACCTACTGGGCGTGCAGGTGCCTCTGCCCCTTGTGCCCTCCACGAATTCCCCAGGACCAGCTTTCCCCTGGCCCCACCTATTTCCCAGAGGGGAAACTTCTAGAATGGGCACTAGGAATGAGCCCCCTTGGAGAGCTCAGAACAAGGAACAGTGGCTTTCAGATATTCTTTTGCTTCTGAAGTAGTTCTTTAAACTGAATCCTCACAAAAAGCCGATGCGTACAGTACCTGCAGTTTTCAGTCGTTCAGTATCATTAGCTAGCACGTCCAGAGCACTTCTCTAGCACCGGGTACCATTCTCAGCCGTACACGTAGCCGCTGGGTCCTCTTAGCCACGCTCTGAGGCGGTTGCTCGTGCTATCCTCATGGTGTAGGTGAGGGACCTGAGGTGTAGAGTAATCAAGCTGCCTGGAACACGCAGATGGCCAGTGGAGCCAGGACTCAGGCCCTGGATGTCTGGCTATAGACCCCGCATGCTTAGCCACTAGTCAGTTCAGCCTTTCCACCTGAGTCCTTGGGGACCCCAACATCTGCTGTTTAGCATCCCCTTTCCCATCACTGGGGTGTCCCATGAGGTACCTCTGCCAATCTGTAGGGCTCCCCAGAGCTCAATGTCATAGAAAGGGCAAAGACTAGGGGCTCTGCTGCCAGGAGCTCCCCAGCCTCGCATGTAGTGGGGAGAGGTGGGCTGGGTGTGCAGCCCCGGCCAGCCCAGTATGCTAGGGAGAGCACACCAAGTAAGGTTGGGCCTCAGGGTCATCTAGAGAGAGACTTCTCAGGGACTTGTCCTCCAGCCCAAGGTAGGGCTAGTGCGCAACTATTGTGCTTGGGGTGCCAGAGTCCCTGTAACAGGTGTAGCTTCACGGAGCTCTCAGGAGGTCTCGTCCCTCAGTCAGGGGACCAGGCGCACCCCTTCCTTGGAGAGGTAGTACGGGGAGCGGTTAGGAGCAAGGACCCAAGGCATGCTTCAAATCCCACCTGGATCCCTTTGCTAGAGTGAGAGACACTGGGCCAGTTACGGAGCCTCCCTGTGCCTTGGTTTTCTCGTCATGGCCAGTGGCATAGCTCAAGCCCCAGACCCAGCAGCTTGGAAAACATGCTGGGCACACGGGTATGCAAGAGGAGAATGGAGAAGGAATTGTGGTACGGCCATCCCCCCTGGGGGAGGGGTGCGTTCTCATTTTCCCACTCTGTCTCTCTGTTTCTGGTAAGCTCATGTGCCCTATAGCAAAAACGAACAAACAAAAAACTGGGATAATAAATACCTCTTACATGGGGTACTGGAAAGATAAAGAGAGTCCATAAAGAGTTAGAACGGTGTCTGGTACCTACTCCTCTTACTGTACTTCTGAGCAGATAGAAGAGCATCGAGTCCCTCTCTCCCACATCCTTATGTCCCAGGGGTACTCGGGATGGACAGCAGTCCCAACGCCGGAAGCCGGCTACGGCACCCATAGAGTGGAAGACTGAAGATACCAGCTCTCAGCGGTGCCTTGGCGAGGGAGGCCAGGAGGGGACCGACGCTCATCTGGCCCCAGAGCTGAGACGCCTGTCTTGGGGAACAATGTCTGGCTTTGCCTGACCACAGGTGCAGCAGTTCCAGGACGTGGCCACCCGCCTGCAGACAGCATACGCTGGGGAGAAGGCCGACGCCATCCAGAACAAGGAGCAGGAGGTGTCTGCCGCGTGGCAAGCACTGCTCAAAGCCTGCGCTGGGCGCCGGACCCAGCTGGTGGACACGGCGGACAAATTCCGCTTCTTCAGCATGGCCCGTGACCTCCTCTCCTGGATGGAAAGCATCATCCGGCAGATCGAGACCCAGGAAAGGCCCAGGTGAGGGGGGGTATGCTCGAGGCAGCTCTGCTCAGTGCCACATGGGGCTGGCAGACCAGGACACTGTACTGGGGCTCCTTCCTGGGGGGACCGTCCTGGCCTGCTAGGTGTCCCCAGGATCTGCCTGACGTTGGGTCCAGACAGAAGTAGAGTGGCCCCACTCTACTGGGAGAACCAGCATTCCAGAGTGAGGGGAGTCCTTGAGAGTGGGAAGAACATCTGTCATTCAGATTCTCCTGTGGGGCAGTGACCACGGCTGACGGTGGGAATGAGTGACTCACACATGGACTGTCGTCCCTGGCAGCCAGGAAGCGGGACCCATTCCCTAAGACTCAAGAAGGAGCTATTATCCACAGGGGGGACGGTCAGACATATGGCAGGGAGGGCCCCAGCGGGGAGCAGAGCTCTCTACCCGGTTTGTGCCACTTTAGTGATGACGGCTGGCCTGTCTCTATTCCTCTGCCCTCAGGGTGCCTGACCAATGGGCTGGACATACTTTTATCTTTAACATCTTTATTGAGATATAATTTACAAAACATTCTTCACACATTTAAAGTGTGCCATCCAATGGTTTTCAGTATTTTTATTTTAGTTTTGCTATACGGGGCTAGTGCTTTAAATAGAGAAAGAGAGACAGAGAGAGAAAGAAAGTGAAAAAAGCAACATCCAGGGGATGGTCATGCTGCAGCCCCTCCTCCTCCACTCTCCTGTCCGGATTTTGGGCACACATGCACACGTACCTGACATGGTTTTCAGGCTGCTGGGTCCGGGACTCCAACCATGCAGATGGCCATATGGGATCCAGCTGCCTTAAATACCACACTGCCGGCTGGCCCAGTATGGTCACTGTTACACACCCATTACCGTAGCCTAAGTTTAGAAGGTCTTTAGGACCCCAAAAAGAGGCCCTATCCCCATTTTCAGTCACAGCCCACTCCCCTGCAGTCACTACTCTGCTTCCCATCTCTAGATTTGTGTATTCTGGGCATTTCATGTAAGTGGACCCCTATAAGATGTGATCTTTCCAGGATCAGCGGTTGGCGTAAATGGCTATGTCGCTGGACTCCCATGTAGTTGATCAAGGTTCTAGTCCTGGACCCGGTGGCTTAACTCACGCTGGGCACGTGTGTGTGCGTGCCCAAGATCCCGAGAGGAGAAAGGAAGAGAAGGGATTGAGGCATGGCCATCCCCCTGGGGGGTGATTTCTTGCTTTCTGTCTCTCTCTTTCTGGCAAGCGCACATGTCCTATAGCAAAAACCTCTCTAAAAAAAAAAACAAAGATGTGGTCTTTGGTGACTGTCTCACATAGCCTGCTCAAGGGTCATCTGTGCCGTGTCTTGCCAAGTCACATTCCCAGGCTCCTTTGAGGTCCCTACCCCCCAGGCCCTGCCCACTGACCAGTGGGAGACACTAAGGGTATCCGTGTTCCTGCGGGGCAGGGCTCGGCTGGCAGAGGACTTGCTGGCCAGCCAGAGAGGAGTGCGAAAGGTCCAACTCTCAGAGGCAGGAGGCAGCCCCCTCTGGTTGGGCCTCGCAGGGCTTCCTTCTGCCCAAACTGCCTCCCCACCCTTGGCCTCGTGCCCCCAGGGACGTCTCCTCAGTGGAACTGCTCATGAAGTACCACCAGGGCATCAAGGCGGAGATGGAAACCCGGAGCAAGAACTTCAGTGCCTGCCTGGAGCTCGGCGAGTCCCTGCTGCAGAGGCAGCACCAGGCCTCAGACGAGGTGAGCAGGACCCGGGGCGGAGGCTCGCTCCCCACTCCTCGCGCCTCACCCCCACTCACTGGCCAGGCAGCTCCTGTCGGGGCAGGGGGCTGTGGTCTCCTGAGGGGCTTGTCTGTCTTTCAGTGGTGGAACACCAGGGCTGTGTGTGGGCCTGGGAATTAGACCATGCCAAGCCCGTTCCCTGCCTTACCGAGCAGGCTCTTAGTAAAGAGGGCAAGCTCTCAGTCTTCCTGACACCCACATGGGCACACGCTGTGGACTGTTGACCCCGTTTCATAAGTGAAGTGATGTGCCTCAGAGAGGTTAAGTAACTCACCCAAGGCCGCACAGCTGGCAGGTAGCAGGGCTAAGACTTGAAGCCAGGACAATGTGACCCAGCCTGGCATTCTTTGCAAGACCTATCCAACTGTCCCAGACAGGAGAAAAGGTCAGCAAAGCCTGAGCCAGCCCCCTTCCCTCTCTACAGATCAGCGAGAAGCTGCGGCAGGTGGTGTCCAGGAGGAAGGAGATGAACGAGAAGTGGGAGGCCCGCTGGGAGCGGCTCCGCATGTGTGAGTGTGGCCCGGGAGCCAGGGTGGCTGGGGCTGGAGCAACGGGAGGGAGGCAGTGCCACAGTGTGGCCTTTCCCAGTGCCCAGAGAGAGCCCCCCATCACCACCCATCACAAAGCTCTGGGCGAAGGCCTCGGGGCCAGGCAGAAGTCCTGAGTGGACTTGGGGCTGGAAGCCCACCTCCAACAGCAGCACACCCTGCTCCCTGCACACCCCCGGCCCCAGTTACCCGCATACCTTATGCTGGGCTAGCATCCCTGCAGGATGGCCTGGGAGCGGTCAGGACGAGGCACTCTGGCATCCCAGGTGTTTGCTCTGACAGGTGTCAGACACGGCAGGAGCTCTGTCCTCCCGCTGAGGCCGAGAAGTGGAGACAAGCGAGCACTCAGGCAGGAGCTGCGAGCCAGGAAGGGCCTCTTGTCCCCTCGCCTGTGAGACAACCACGGGCTGGGGAGAGACTGCTCAGGGCAGAACACTCCTCCACACCAGGCATCCAGACTACATCAGTCTCAAAGCAGTTGTGGGACCAGCAGTTAGCGTAATGGCTATGTCTCTGGACTCCCACGTAGTCGACCGTGGTTCAAGTTCCGGACCCGGTGGCTTAAACTCACGCTGGGCACGTGTCGTGCGTACCCAAGATCCCGAGAGGAGAATGGAGGAGAAGGGATTGCGGAGTGGCCATCCTCCCTGGGGGGTGATTTCTCACTTTATCTCTCTCTGTCTTTCTGGGGAGTGCACATGCCCTATAGCAAAAAGCTAAAACAAACAAACAAACAAAAAAAAAACACACACACACACAAAAAAACCCCACAAACAAATAAACAGAGCTTGTTTGAATTAGCATGTTTTAGGTGTAACTATTGACAGAGCTGAGTAGGACCGGTGTGGGGCGGAGTGGCCTCAGACGGCAGGGCACCAGGCCGTCGTGGCCCAGTGCCGGCCTCCTGCTGCCCGCCTGCCTGCCGGGCCGCGGAGCCCGGTGGGAGTGGACTGGTGCTAACAGGCCCTGGGCCTGCGGCGGTCTCCGGCTTGCTCTCTCGGCAGTGCTGGAGGTGTGCCAGTTCTCGAGGGATGCCTCTGTGGCCGAAGCGTGGCTAATCGCCCAGGAGCCCTACCTGGCCAGCCGAGACTTTGGACACACCGTGGACAGCGTGGAGAAGCTCATCAAGAGGCACGAGGCCTTTGAGAAGTCTACAGCCAGCTGGGCGGAACGCTTCGCTGCCCTGGAGAAGCCCACCACGGTGAGCTGGGCACAGCACCGGGAGCACCGGCGGGCAGCTGTGCCTGGGTGGCAGGTCTTGAGCTGGGAGTTCTAGGAGCCTCGCTTGGTAGAAGAGGCTTGGCCCGTGGGGAGAGTGGGAAGATAATGCAGGAGTGGAAAGCACTGACCTTTGAACACAGAAGACAAAAGGGGGCAACTCAGGAGGGACAAACACCGGTGTGCATTGGGGTGCAAGGGCCATGTTTAGAGAGAGGTCATCCGAGGACACGGCTTGTCTCTGTGGCTCCTCTGACCCTCGGCCTTTCCCTCCCCTAGCTGGAGCTTAAAGAACGCCAGACCCCGGAGAGACCCACAGAAGAACCTGGGTGAGTGGGAGCTGTGTGTCCCGGAGCCCAAGCATTCCACCATGGGGGATGGCTGGGAGAGAGGAGGGGGTCCTTTCATCAGAGCCCTGACATTCGAACAAGGTGTACCGACCTCTCGTACCTGGACCACTTGTCAGAAGAACCACTTTTGTTTCCCCAGAGTGCAGGTAGCCTGAAGGCCTGGCGCAGGGAGGCGCAGGTGGTGGAGAGTGGTGGGGCTGCAGAGTCAAGGCTCCCTCCCTGGGGACCACCTGAACGAGGGCTTGAGAGGCCATTCACGTGGAACCTGTCTACTCTCTTAACCTTACCTGTTCCATGAGTGAGGAGACAGGGTCTTGATGCCACAATCTACCCCCAGTCTCGACCAGGGACACAGGTGCCCTGCATGCTCAGGGAGGTCTCCGGAGGCGAGCTGGCACCTTCCCAGGGGGTCTGCCTCGCAGCACTGTGGTGTATACCACGCTACTGTGCTGCCCCTGGTCCGTTCTGAGGCCTTTGCCTTAATTCTCCAGTTTAGCCTCTGCACGGCTCCTTGCTGGCACCCTGCAGGCTGCCTGTGGGTGTGGTGGGAAGCCAGACGTGGAGGCAGGTGCTTGGTTTTGAACAGTCCTGTCTCCCTTAGGCCACAAGAGGAGGAAGGCGAGACAGCAGGGGAGGCTCCCCGAGTGCATCGAGCAGCCACCGAGAGAACGTCCCCGGTCAGTTTCCTGTCCCTTTTGTCTAGTTCCTGGGAGTCGTTGCTGCCAGAACCGGCTCACCCCTACTAGGCTCAGCCAGGGCGGAAGGCAAGGAGGGGCACACGCCGCCCCACCCGGCCCCTGCCCTCCTGATGCCTGGTCCAGATCTGTCAACGTTTTTACTCAGGTTTTCTTAATACTTAGCATAATCCCCCTACTCCCTTCAACCTGGAAGAAACTGACACACCAGCCCACGTGACTCTATGAGTTTGGTTTTATCTAGCGTAATAAATTTTATTATATAACTACGTCACCATCGAAATCAGGGAAACACTTTATACAAAGGCAAATTGTTTTTGTACGCCATCTTTTTTCCCCAGTTTCCTTTTAATTCCATCTTCAACATAGCACCCTCACCCTACACACGCGTGCACTCACACACACACACACATTCACAGACACCTACCAGTTGTCCGTCCCGTCCTGCCATGGCATTTTCGGCAGTAAAGAGGGGACACCTACCCTTCCAGCAGATTCCTCCCCTACCTTTTCCACATGGCCTGATGCCTGGAGCTGGTTCTGAGGCAGGAACAGACTCAAAGGAGCCCTGCAGGAGGGAGGGAGAACCCCAGGGCACCTGCTCCCCAACTTGTAGAAAAGGAAGAGACCAGAGGCCTAGCTGAGAGGAGGGGCGAGAGGGCCCAGGACAGACCAGCTACCAGAGACCTAGGGCAGCGCCTTAGGATGCCACAGAGCCTGTGCAGGGAACCCAGGAGGCTGTAACCCCGTTTGGGAAAATGCTCTCAGGAGCGACTGAGGAGAAAGCAAGAATTCAGCATGCAGCTTGCATGGCTTCACCAAGGCATGCACCCCTGCAGCATGCAGCTCTGGGGATCAAGGGAGCAACAGAGCCTTCACCTGCTGCACCTCTCTAGATGCCTGGGTGAGCCTGCCTTCAGGAAGACTGGTATTCTAGACTGAAATTTCTGGTACCCCAACCAATCAGAACAATGAGCCCTCCTATGTAGAGAAAAATCCCTGTCAGGGCCAGATTTCAGCCCTCTTCATCCTCAGGGTGACACAAGCACTTACACACACACACACACACACACGTGCGCGCACATGCACACACCCACTCCACTCCTACCTTTCCCTTTCCCTCTGAGCTGCACCAGCCTAGCATGCCCAGCAGAGGGCACTGC